GATCGCTCCAAGACTCCCAAGATGGCCCCAAAATGGGCCAAGAAACCTCCCAAACGGCCATGACTTCCCTTAGGTGTTTCAAAAGAATTTGGCGTTCTCGCCTTTTCAGCTTTCCGACGCTCCAAAGCTGTCCGAGAGGCCCCCAAGACCACCCCAAAACGGCCCAAGAAGCCCCCAAGAGGGCCCCAAGACAGCCCAAGAGCGCCCCAAGACGGCCCAGGAGGCGCCCAAGACGGCCCAGACCCCAAGACGGCCCCAACAGGGGCCCAAGAGAGGGAACACGAACCGAGGATCCTAGCCTTCCGCTCCAAGAGGCCCCCAGGAGACCCCAAGAGGCCCCGAAGAGGGCAGGTAGCACCCGCCTGCTTCCCAGAATTCTGACATCCAAGGTAACGAATGATGGGTAACAAGCTGGTGCGCCCCCCCTCGGGACCTCTGGAGGGGCCGCAAGCGGGCCGCAAGGGTAACAAGCGGGTGCCCATTTCACCCCCTGAAACGGGCACCCGATTGTTACCCGAAACTCGAGAGGCCCAGGCTGCCCCCCGAATTTTTCATAATTTCTGGTGCAAGCGGGTGCCCACTTCACCCCCTGAAATGGGCACCCGCTCGTTGCCTGAAATTCTGAATTTCGAGGAGCCCGGGCTGATCACAAACAGTGTGAGAATTCCGGGCAACGAGCGGGTGCCCATGTCACCCCTGGAAGGGGCACCCGCCTGTTACCCGAAATTTTGAGCTTCGCGGAGCCCCGACTGCCCCTCCGAATTTCAACTAATTTAGAGCAACCCCTGCTGAAATACGAGACCGATGTTGCATCACAGCAGCAATTCGGCCCCTGACTTTCGTCCTCGGTTCGGCTTAGTGAAGTGATGAATTTCGGGGTCCTGACGTAGGAAAAAACATCACTTCACTAATCTGAGGCCCCTGGGGCCTCAGTGGGCCCTGGGGCCCAAAATTAGTGAAAAGATGGTTTCGGGCCTCGGATGAAATGGGCACCCGCTCGTTACCCGAAACTCTGGAGGCCCAGGCTGCCTCCCCCGAATTTATGACCCGAAATCATCAGAATTCCGGGGGACAAGCAGGCGCCCACTCCACACCCTGAAATGGGCACCCACGCGTTACCCAAAATTCACAGCCTCGATGAGCCCAAACTGCCCCCAAAGATGTCCACAAAGTTCTTGCAACAAGCCGGTGCCCATGTCACGCACTGAGATGGGCACCCGCTTGTTACCCGAAACTCGGGAGGCCCTTTCTGCCCCCCCCCCCCGCGAATGTGTCCGAATTTCGGGCAACAAGCGGATTCCCAATTCATCCCCTGAAGTGGGCACCCGCTTGTTACCAGAAATTATGAGTTTCGAAAAGCCCGGGACGCCACTTGAAAACTCGGAGAAGCCCAGGCTGCCCACCTCCCGAATGTCCAGGAAGATCGGGTAACAAGCGGGCGCCCGTTTCTGAACTGGGCACCCACTTGTTACCAGAAATTCTGAATCTCGAGGAGCCAAGGCTGCCCCCCCCGACCCCCCCTGCATTTCCACGAGCTTCGGGTAACAAGCGGGTGCCCATCTCACCCCCTGGAAACTCGGGAAACCCAGGCTGCCCCCCGACTTCTTCAGAACTGCTGGTCACAAGCGGGTGCCCACTTCACCCCCTGAAATGGCCACCCGCTTGCTACCGGCACTCCGGGGAGCCCAGGCCGCCCTCGCCCGAGATTCGGGCACCCGGCGGGTGCCCCTGTCAGGGGGTGACATGGGCACCCGCCCGTCGCCCGGAATGCTGGCAAATTGCGGAGCGCAGCCCTGCCGCTCCCGAGTCTCGGGTAACGGGCGGGTGCCCGTTTCACCACCTGAAATGGGCACCCGCCCGTTACCCGAATGTTCGGGGAGCCCAGGCTGCACCCCGAACCCGAATTTCGGGCAACAGGCGGGTGCCAACTTCACCCCCTGGAGTGGGCACCCGCTTGGTACCTGAATTTCGGAGAGCCCAGGCTGCCCCCCCCGAAATGTTTCAAATTTCTGGTAAAGAGCAAGTGCCCATGTCGGGGGGTGGAATGAGCTCACGCGTGGTACCCGAATTTCGGGAAGCCTGGGCTGCCCCCCCCCAACCCGAACTCTGGGCAACGGGCGGGTGCCCATTTCAGGGGGTGACATAGGCACCTGCTTGTTTCCAAGATTTCCGGGAGCCCAAACTGCCCCCCCGCATTTTTGTTCCAGAATGTCGGGTAACAAGCCCGCTTGTTACCCAAATTTCGAGAAGCCCAGGCTGCCCTCCCGAACCCGAATTTCGGGGAGGGCAGGGCTGCACCCTTGAGCTTTCCAGAATTCCAGGCAACAGGCGGGTGCCCATTTCACCCCCTGACATGGGCACCCGCTCGATACCCGAACTTGCGGGGGTCCCAGGCTGCCACCCACCCCCCCCCGAATGTTCTCGGATTTCGGGCAACAAGCGGGTGACCGACCATTTCAAGGGGCGAAATGGGCACCCGCATGTTACCCGACATTCGGGGATGGCAGGGCTGCCCTCCGTAATTGTCCAAACTTTCGGGTAACAAGCGGGTGCCCATGTCACCCTCTGAAGTGGGCACCCGCTTGCTACCCGAATTTTCGAGGAGCCCAGGCTGTCCCCCCGCAGAATTCACGGTAACGAGCGGGTGCCCACTTCAGAAGGTGAAGTGGGCATCCGCTTGTTACCCAACATTCTGAAAAATTTAGGGGAGCGGCCTGGGCGTCCCGAAATTCCCGAAATTGCGGGAAACAAGCGGATGCAAATTTCCGGGGGTGGGATGAGTACCCGCTTGTCACCCGACATTCGGGTTCGGGGGAGCAGCCCGGGCTCCCCGAATGTTGGGGCAACAATTCGGGGAGGGCCGGGCCGGCTCCCCCCGAATTCTCCTGGATCTCGGGTAACAAGCGCCATGTCATCCCCTGAGAGGAGCAGCGGCTTGTTGCCCGAAATTCGGGCAGCCCAAGCTGCCCCACCCCGAAGTTCCCAAAAACTTCGGATCACCAGCGGGTGCCCAGTTCCCCCTGGAGTGGGCATTCGCTTGTTACCCTAACTTCGAGAAGGGCCAGCCTTGCCCCCCCCCCCGAATTTTCTGCAATGTCAGGCAACAAGCGAGTGCTCATTTCAGGGTGTCGGGTGCCCATTTCACCCCCCGAAATGAGTACCCGCTTCATGCCCGAATTTTGGGGAGCCCAGGCTGCCCTCCCGAGTTTTCCCGAAGTTCGGGTTATAGGCGGGTGCCCATTTCACCCCTGAATGGGCACCCGCTTGCTATCCGAAATTCGGGAAAACTCGAGGGGCAGCCTGAACTTTTTCAATGCTCCCAGCGTTTCAAATAACAAGCGGTTGCCCACGTCACCCCTTGGAATTGACACCCGCTCGTTGTACGAATTTCGGGGAACGAGCGGGTACCCATGTCATCCCTCGAACTATGCACCCGTTTGTTGACCCCGCTTTTCTGCCCGAGTGTGGGGTAACTACCAGCCTGGAAATATCCCTATCCCTATGCTGGGCATCGCCTCATCACGACGCCAATCTCAGGGATTCCCTCAAGTTTTGCGGGCGCATCCCCAAGATTGTCATCGCCTTGTGGCGTGTCAATCTTAGGGATGAGGACAAGATCGAGGCTGGTGAGGTAACAAGCGGGTGCCCATGCCAGAACGTGCCAATAGGCACCCGCTCGTTACCCGAAATTCGGCGAGGGCAGGCCTGATTTCGGAGGGCCCAGGCTGCCCCCCCCCAAGATTTGTTCATAACTTCGGGTAACAGGCTGATGGGCGTGTTTTCCACCACCACTACCATACATTGGAGGGGGGGGTCCTCCTCCTCCTCCTCCTCCTCCTCCTCTTCTTCTGTTTCTGTTTCTGCTTCTGCTTATGCTTCTGCTTCTGCTTTTGCTTCTGCTTCCGCTTCTGATTATTTTTACTAGTATTATTATTCTTATCATGATTAATATATTCTTAATTGTCGTTTTCTTATTCTTCGTATTATGATTCTTCTCCTTATTATTATTATAAATATAAATATTATTTTTATTATCATTATTTCCATTAATACTAGTAGTATCATTAGTATTAGTATTAGTATTAGTATTATTACTATTATTATTATTCGCCTTCTTCTTATTATTATTGATATTGTTGTTGTTATTATTACTATTAGTGATATTCTTAATATTATGATTATTATTATTGTTAATAATATTATTATTATTATTATCATTAGTCTTCTTCTTATTCTTCGTATTCCTCCTCCTCCTCCTCCTCCTCCTCCGCCTCCTCCTTCTCCTCCTCCTCCTCCTCCTCCTCTTCCTCCTCTTCCTCCTCCTCCTCCTCCTCCTCATCATGATCATCAGCATCATCAGCATCATCAGCATCATCATCATCATCATCATCATCATCATCATCATCATCATCATCATCATCATCATCCTCATCCTCCTCCTCCTCCTGCCGCTGCTGGCCACACGCGGTCTATCCGCGAAGCCCCGCGGCGCCCGCGCGGCCGCGCGCGGACGCCACGAACTGCGTGTTCCGACGTGCGCCGCGCACGCACCGACGACGAGCACCGAACGCGCACAGGCCGAGCATCGAAGCGCACAGGCCGACGAGCGAGCGGCGAAAGCCAGGGGGAGAGACGAGGAAGGCCTCCGAGGGCCTCTGGCGTGCGCCCGACGGGCCCCCGTGTCAAAGGGAATCCGTCTCCTCTTCCCCCCTCGGCGGCCGCCATCACCACCCCAGCCCTTCTGCTGAGGGGTAGGCACGCTCACCGCCGAGGGGGGCCTTCGTGATGGCGAAGCCGTCGCCGAGGGCCTGGCAGAGGTCGACGTGCTTGGGCCTGCGTCATGGCCACCTCCTCCGCCCTTCCTCACATGTGGCGAACGAGTGGCCGTGTTCTGTCGTCTTCTGCTCGGTTCGAGCAGTGTGAGGTCGTTGTTGTCCGTGCCGCCCGTGGCGAGATCGTCGTGACTGTTCATCACCATGTGTTCGTGGTAGTGCCAGGGCCTGGCGATGTCGAAGTTGTCGCCGTGTCGTCGTACTGTCTGCTGGATGCGGTGCTGCAGGTCGGCGTGGTCTTCGTGGTCGCTCCCGCCGTGGATGACAACCTCGTTGGCGTGCAGCTTGGCGAAATCTCTGGTGGCGATGTAGCGGTGCTCGGCAATGTCACGCATGCTGGCTGGGATGCGCGTGCATGCGCAGGTGACGCTGGCTGTTGCGCATGCGTGCATCAAGAAAATGGTGGTCATGATGATATAGTTATGGTCGCGTGCTCGTTGGCATGCCGCAGGTCGCAGATGGTCGCGATCGTTGTGGTAGTCGATAATGCATAGGGATGCCTCTCCGCGTCTGGTGCGTCGCCGCGCCAGCTCGACTTGTTCTTGAGAAGCGGTGCTATAATTGACCTGGAGAACTTCCGTACGTTTGCCAACCTCGTCTGCCGCCTACTGGATGCTGTTTGTGACCTCGTTGATGCTGTCGGTCGCGTTGGACACCGCGAGGATGATGCTTGGTCGGAGGTCCTGTGCTCTGGTGTCAAGCTGGCGGTTGGGCGCGTGCGCATCGTCTACCGCTGGGTGCTCGCTGCTCGTCTCCTCCGCGTCGGTGGGTATCGTAGCTGGTGCTATAGCATTGACGCCAAGCTCGTCGTAGATGATGGGTCCGATCGAAGGTCCTTGTAGCTGCTGTACTGGTAGTTCGGCGTAGTCCTCGGGCAAGCCGTTGTGCTCGTTGAGCCTCCGAATCCGCTTGGTCTCGTTCTTGTCGGCGTCGATCTCGCCGTCGGCGAGGTTCGCGCAAGCATTGGCCCGGGAAGAGCCGCACCTTCGGGAGGCCTTCAGGCGCTTAATGAATATGTTGGCAGTGTGGAACTCTCGTAAGCATATCTGGCATACGCTGCCGATGGCCACTGCGTTGATGTCAGCAGCCGGCTTGTGGCGGCGGTAGACGCGCTCGGTAGATGCTGCTCGGTTGGCGAGGATCGCCCCACGTGTGCAGCACATGAACTTGCTGTCCTCGTGGTTGCCTGGGTGTGGTCGCGGCGGGGCTGGTAGCATCGATCCGTCGCATGTCTCAGATACCTGTGCTTTCCACTTGGTATTTTGGTGCTCGTCGGCGCGCCATGCTGAGTCCCGTTTGAGAGCAAGTGCGATCGCGCGCTGCATGCCGCGCGGGTCGCTGAGTGCTGCATTGATCCAACTTCGAACGTCCTGTGTGTTATTCACCTTGTGGTTGTTCTCGAGGAATTGCGAGTTGCTTTGGATGTCCAAGGTCATCTGCCGGGCCCACTTGCCGTCGTTGTAGATGACGCCATCGATGAGCGCTTGCACTTCTCCGGGGCATCCGTCAACGAGCCGTCCAAAATGCCGTCGCTGCTGCGGGCGTAGTCTCGTCTGGAAAGTCGGTAACTCCGCAATGTCGATGATGTCGGCGTTCGTGATGGCTTCCGTCGCGACGTCGCGGCGCGATATCCCGAGTGCTTGTATTGCCGCCGTCGAGCAAGCTGACTCCAGTTTGCTGCGGTCGTTAATCTTCGTCAATGTCTACGCGCCGCTGTTGTAGAATATCTTGGGAAGAGCGAAGGCTTCGAGGTAATGGGTCTTGGCGACGCTGGCGATAGCTTTCCGTCGGAACAGAACTCATCGCATCGGCCCCGTAGCTTCTCTGGTAGACGTTATCCTGCTAGTGGCTTCCTGGGCCATGTCGTTCCTGTCGTTGCACATGGCTCCGGGCAGTTAAGTGCAACGGGCGTTGGTCAACTCCATCCCGTGGCTGTTGAAGCTGACGTTGCTGGCGATGTATTGTCGCGTTCATCTCTTGCCCTTCTTGAATCGGCGTAGACCATGAAGCTGGACTTGTTCGCGTTGATGGGCAGCCCCCTTGAAAGGGCGGCCCCTGTCAGATGCGACCACATCGCAAGGATGATGCTGTCGAGCTGGTCGCCGTCGTCGGTCGTTGCAGCTGCCTTGACGTCGTCGACGAAGTCGAGGTGACCGCCTTAGGCTCGTCGTCTTGCTGCATGATGGATAGGCTGCTCGGGATGTCGACGTAGACCTCATCGAGGCAGGCTGCATGGCGGCAGTCTTTGGTGACCTCTGACACGAGCACGTTGAAGGTGAAACCGGCGGTTGCAACTCCTGGTCTTGTTCCCAGTCGTGGCCTCGCAAAGCTCGCCTCCGCGTGGATGTAGAACCAAGTGCCTCTGTGGGCGTCTGCCAGCATCGTCGTGATATGCAGGTTGTCTACGCGCCGCTCGATGATGTTTCCGTTGCGCATGAGCTCTCTGGTGGCTGTATGCAATGCTGCAGGGGTGCATGCTGCCCACGACGTCGACGATCCCGCCCTGGCCCTGCGCGAGCTTGTAGATCAAGCCGTTGCCTACCTTGCGGGAGGCCGCCTTGAGGTCAATCATGATTAGCGTCAGGTCGCGCCCCTTCCTGTCGGCTGCCTCGAATAGCAATCTCAAGGTCATGTGGTTGTAAACCGTGCTGTAGCGCTGCCTCCAGCCCGTCTGCGTGCTGAACAGGATGTTGGGGATGCGGTCTTTCACGCACTGCCTGATGCACCTGCAATGGTGCTTGACGACCGCGTTGGCAAGCGTGGTAGACCGTTGATTGTCGCGCTTCCCCCCTATGCCCTTGCCTTTCCAGAAGTAAGTCATCCTTGAACCTTCGCGCGCAAGCCCGCCTTGACAACATGGCGCCGCTCTGGCGATGATGCGGCGCATGTGTCGAGTCATTTCCTGCGGCGCCAGCCTAGCAGGGTCGTCCGTGATCGAGTCGGGCCATGGCGCACGCCATGGCTGTGCAGACGAAAGAATATCCGTGAGCTCGTAGATGCTGGCAAAGTTGTCGATGTGTCTGTGCATGGTGTTTTTTTGTTGGCCAGGTCTTTGGCGTCGTTGTAGGCGTTGGTGACGCCGTCTCGATCTCCGAGTTGGGCCGCCCCGTTGGGTCCGAAGTGTTCGGTGGCCTCCTCGCTCTTCCTGACGACGTCCCCCATAGGTTCTCCTGCGCTCGTGTACATCATCGTGCAAGCCCTGGCATTGCGTCTCCTTCTGCCTCTGAAGATGAGCAGCTTCTTGGTGTACTTCCATTCGTTGCAGTGGCCCCTGGGTGTTCTTGGAGAAGCCGCCGCTGTCGCCTGCTCTTCGAGGGACCGGTCGCAGTCGCGATTGGCCATGAAGTTGGTGAGCTTCTTGGTGTCCTCGAGCCACTTCCTTGTTGCGTGAATGAAGCTGTCAACGTTGTTCGTGTTGGTGACCGTCTGCCGTCATAAACAACTGGGCCGCGATGGTGTACACGTTGGAGATGTGCTCCTTCGGGATGCCCCTGC